AAAAAGGAAACAATTTTGGTCACATGTTATAGTTAGTTTCTTGGCATTTTGACCCCGAAAATCTGACCTTCAATTTTTGTGCAATATCAATTCAATCACCTTGTATGCTTGAAGGAAGCATAGTTAGTAACTAAATCAGAAAATAAAAGCACCGATATACCCAACTCAACATGAACCGTATACCATTTGGAGGAGTAGAAAACAAAACTGCCGAACATCTCGTATTTTATGTCTACATTGAATCAGAAAACTCGGTAAATAATTCGTTCGTAAAAACAAGATTGGTCGCCATCGGCCATTCCGCATTCCCAATACCCCCCATTCATTCACACGGAACTCCTTTTTGTCCGGCCCATATAAAACCGCACTTCAGATCCCGAATCAATCCCGTGTTAACGTCGAAAACATCGTCCTAGAATCCCAGTTTTCGCAGTCCTCGCCCGATCCCGAGCACTATGGCGACACTTACGACGAGACGGGATACCTGTACAGGGTGGCACGTCATAAAATATCACCTTCTACAAGGTGATTCTAAAATAGGTGGTCAAATTTTGGGAGCATATAGAGTGGGTGAAATAATTATGAAAACCTCTGTAACATTTTTTTCTGAAGTGACCCCCAAGAAAGATACAGCCCCTCAAAGGGGGGCCTCTGAGAATGATTTTGTATTATTATCTCCAACACCTTGTATAATGAAAATCTGGAATTTTGTCTATCCGCTTAGTATTCAGTGCCGGTTCGAATGGAGTTAAAATCACCTCAAAATAAAATACAGGGGTGTCTCAAAATAGTGAGGTAGGGGGTAAAAATAACCCTCAACTTTTTTGTTCATCGCAATTTCAGTTTTTTGACATGAAATTATGAAATCTCAGGGCTATTTACATGAAAAAGGTGCTCTTGTTGCATCTCGATAAAATTAACTATTAGTGAATAAAATTTAAAAAAGCTTGTTATTAACAATATTTTTCATTTTAGTATTTTCGAAAGGATCAGACCATAATCACGAAACTCGTCGTCTATTGTTAATTCATCAATTCCGACAATGAATTCAAATTTCCAAACCCCAAAAACCCTTACAAACCAATTTTGAATCGAATCGAACCATAATCACAAATCTGGTCAGCCACATTGGAGCCGCCATATTTTTTTCTATCAAAAAGTCCATAACGCGTTGTCAACTGTCATCTGCCAGATTCCAAGTTGATCAGACGATTAGAAGTAGGTGAAAATTCAGTTGCAAGATTTGAACTAGATAATTAAACTCAAGTGCATACCAAAATTTAAATTTAAATGAAATCTTGGAAAAATAAATTTTATTCGCTAATGGTTCAGTTTATCGAGATCCAACAAGAGCTCCTTTTCTATGTTTATAGCCCTGAGATTTCATAATTTCATGTAAAAAAACTGAAATAGCGATGAACAAAAAAGTTGGGGTTATTTTCACCCCTACCTCCCTGTTTTGACACACCCCTGTATTTAATTTTGAGGTGATTTTAACTCCATTCGAACCGGCACTGAATAGTTAGTGGATAAACAAAATTTTAGATTTTCATCATACAAGGTGTTGGCGATAATGGTACAAAATCATTCTCCGAGGCCCCCCTTTGAGGGGCTGTATCTTTCTTGGGGGGCACTTCAGAAAAAAATATTACCGAGGTTTTCGTAATTATTTCACTCACTCTATATACTCCCAAAGTTTGACCACCTATTTTAGAATCACCTTGTATAACTAAATTGTTCAACATTGATAACGGCGTGGTCCAAAACATAGCCTGAATTCAAAGTAGAATAACTCGCGAATTTCCTTACCAGTTTCAAAATGGGTGAATCTCTTGACAGTTTGTTTTGGCAATATAAAACTCCTGTAATTTCAGATAACATTGCTACAGGGTGATAATTGAATAGGTGTAAAATTGCATCGTGGTCGTCACCTTACCGTTTGAACAGATTTTTTTAAATTTTTTTCCCACCTGTATCCTCTTAATTGATGGTTTCCCTCGAAACATTTTCGGAATTTTCAAATTCAGAGCTTTGATAATCGTGTTATGAATATTCATTCAAAATGATGCATTTTTTCGATTAATTGAATGGAATTGAAAGTTGGAATTCTTTTTCTAAGAATCAACGTTGTATGTATAGTCGTCGGATATGTGATTATGTGTTCGAACACAGAAAATTCTGAAGAAGTCTATACAAAGTGATACAATAAATACTGAATGATCAAATGAAGAATAACGTAGTCTTCAGTAGAGGAAACATGGTTTTCTCTGTGTTACTAATGGAATAATGGTCATATAATTAAAGTACGCATTTTTAATCAAAATGATGCATTTTCGTGAAGATAAATTATAAAATTCAAAATATTACGATTGTAGTTCCAGAAGTATGAAATTTATATTTATTCTTGACGATGGATATACAGGGTGCGATAAAAAAATGTCCAGATTGTCCCGGGATGAAGAAGAATATGTTTGAACGTGATGAAAATTGCTATGTTCCGAAAGGAAATATAGTGTCGGTCATTGCCGAAAATTGTGAAATGTATAAATACAGTAACTTTTCATGATGTTTATATGAGGAAATATGAAAGAGACTGTAGAGTAATATGTTGTATTATGGCATATAAATATAACTTACCAATATGTTCAGTATTGAAATGAAAATTGAAATGTATAGAGGAAGTATACTTGTATGGACTCTGATCTTGATGAGCTTGGAATTGGGAGATAATGTCAATTCCCAATTTCAGAGGATTTTGATTTTTCATGCTTTCTTTTTGGATATTCAACAGATATAATTCAATGTTCGACGTGGCAAATAGCCAGGAAAGTAGTTGTTTTCTGTTGAATATTCAGAATGATATTATGTGGATATCTTTATATGAAGGAGAATGCAAATTCTTAACATCAAAAGATTTTTCAAATTCTTATCATGTGTGTTCAATAGATGTAATTCAATGTTCTTCGTGGCATATAGCCAGGAAAGTAGTTGTTTTCTGTTGAATAAACCGAGAAAGAATTAATATTTTCATCACATGGAGAATGCGAATTCTCAATGTATTTCTCTATATATACAGTTCTCAACACACTTAATAGACCACTCATAATTTGACTCTATTTCGAAGACCTGTATTTTTTCAAAAGATTGACCGATCTTCACGCGGTTTTCGATATCAGATGTGATATTTCATCTGCTTCAAAGAGAGATAGAACACTAAAGTGGAACCATTACACTATGGTATATATTTCCAATGCTGCCAGAACCCGAGAAATTTTTTTCTGATCAAAAGTCAGTCATATTATGATACAGTGGGACCTCATCTCGGGACCTTTTCGTGATTTCTCCATAATTGGCCATTGGAACAGAAATTAGATTTTTTTTTTCGAAATTCTTGCATTTCTTGAATTTTTTCTCTAGAACTCCACTTGAGCTGACTATTGGGAAGAACTGTTCTCATGTTTTGTGGAGGACAATGAAAGAGGAAAAAAGCACTATTGTGGAATACACAGGATGATAAGATAGTAGGAAAAAATAAAAAATGGTGACTAAAACATGGCCCATTCGATTCAGTATACTCAGAAACGGCCTTCTCGATACCCAATACCCATTATTTATATGAGACTATTAACTCGAGGAGTTTTCGAAAATTCGCCTCTAATTGAAATACAGGATGGAAATTACCAATTCAAACTTGTTTCCTGATATCGATGATTCTTATCAACTGATTTCCAATATTTATTGCCCAAGTTTGAGACACAGAGTATTGTTGTTCAATATACTGAGTGTTTCACAACTTATCTGACAAATTACGAACTCTAGAAAACAAAAATTTCATAAGAATGGGATGACTAGCATTATCTCCAGATCTGAATTTGATTGAACATGTATGGAGCCGAATGAAACTTTACCTATCGAGAAGGCGAGAGGCACCCCAAAATAATGACAACCTTATCCAAGCTGTATCAGAAGAATGGGAGGCAATATCGATAGACTTCATCAACAACCTCATAGAATCTATGCCAAACCAATTTCATGAGGTTTTGTTAAATCGGGGAGGCCCTACCAAGTACTGAAATTTAGTACATAGGACTTTTTAGTTGGATCTTCATAATGCTGAAGAATTCACTAATGTCATATTTCGCCAATAGAGCCCATTTCGAATAGTTTCAGTGGATATAAAGTGTTATATATATAATTTTATTTTCCATCTCGTTTTACTTATATAAAATTTTTATGTGATAGACTTCTTATATAATATAGTAGTTGTGGTTTGTCAGATAAGTTGTGAACCACTCAGTATATTGAACAACAATACTCTGTGTCTCATAGTTGGGCAATAAATATTGGAAATCAGTTGATGAGAATCATCGATACCAGGAAACAAGTTTGAATTGAGAATTTTCAACCTGTATTACAATTAGAGGTGAATTTTCCAAAACGTCTCGAGTTATTAGTCTGATAGAAATGATGGATATCGAGAAGGCCATTTCTGAATGTACTGAATCGAATGGGCCATGGTTTCAGTCACCGTTTTTGATTTTTTTTCTGCAATGATTTGTCCTACTTTCTCATCATTCTGTGTTTTCCACAATAGTGCTTTTTTCGTCTTTCATTGTCCTCCACAAAACATGAGAACAGTTCTTCCCAATAGTCAGCTCAAGTGGAGTTCTAGAGAGAAAATTCAAGAAATGCAAGACTTTCGAAGAAAAATCTGATTTTTGTTTCAATTGCCAATTAAGGAGAAATCACGAAAACCTCCCGAGATAAGTCTCCAGTGTAATATAATATGACTTTTGATCAGAAAAAAATTTCTCGAGTTCTGGCAGCATTGAAAATGTAGACCATAGTATAATGGTTCCACTTTACTTTACTTGTTGAGAACTGTAGATATCCATTTTTTTGTATTCATAAATATATCTGAGAATATTCCTTTTCAATGCATATAGTGTGATAGAGTACCGAAACTAATTCAACAACTATCACACCATCACTCCTTCCAGATGGTCGCAAGGGCTGCTCTTCCACCAGGGCGCCGTCGACTGCGCACGCGCCGCCCTCCTACTACCTCTGGGCACCTCCATCCTGCACTGCCAGCCGGTACACAAGTGCTCGCTGGTCGAAACGGCCTTCCTCCTCCTGGTCACCGTCGCCACCGTCAACATGCTCACCACCGTGCTCAACGACTCGCCCATCTTCCCCGACGACGACGACGACGTCCAAGATGGCGTCCTATCGTCCGACACGCCCCTCCTGATGGACTCGCCGCAATGCGTGCTCTTCGGCACCTTCATGATATGGTTCGCGTCGATCACCATCAACCTCGGACCCACTTTTCTGTCAGGTACGATTTTCTTTCATTGTTCGCAAAGGCAACAGGTACTCTGCGTAGGGAAAATCCACAGGTGATGAAGCAACAGGTCATACACCTGTGGGTACGAGGAAGGATCTACAAGTGAGGAAGGTAACAAAGCAACAGGTCGAACACCAGTAGATACACCAAATAGAACCACTATTATAGATGGTTGAAGTAGTGAGGAAGCTTATAGAGGTAGGATCAAACAGTTTGCATAGAAACAGATACTTTCAGATGTAGGTCCACCAAATAGAACCAGCAGGATCAACTATGCAATTATAATCATCAACACGAAGGTATGATCAACAGTTTGCACAGTGGGTTTATGATACAACAAAGAGTACTACCACTGTCTACTGTGCAAGAGTGAATGAGGATAAAGACGGTAGTAACAAGAACAGTTTTCACAACAAAAGTGTCTACACGAAATAGAACCACCATTACAGACTTTGACACAAAGTAGTGAAGAAGCCAAGAGAGTTAGGATCACACAGTTCGCACAGAAACAAGTTTAAACATCTCTGAGTCAGTGTCGACTCTGGATTTAATATGAAGATAACAATGGTAGAATCACCAGCTTTCACAGCAACATGGTCCATTTACCTGTGGGTAGACCAAATGGAACCTCCAGTATCAACTGTGGAAGTGCAAAGCAGCAGGTTAATAATATACACCTGTAGTACCACCAGTGTCTACACCAAATAGAACCATCAATATTAACTAAGAAAGTGTAATGGAGATGAGAATGATTAAACAGCAACAGGTCCATAATTCACCTGGGGTATCATCGAATGGAACCAATATTATAGAGATTGAAATAGTACGCAAAGGAAGAGTCCATATACCACTTCGTACGACGAATACAGAACCACCATTTCGACTGTAAGTGCGATGAAGCCAATAATGCTAGGATATAAAGTATGCATAGCAAACAGAACCACCAGTGTTTTCAGAGAACAGATACACCCAGTAGAACTACCATCAGTGTTGAAAATCGTTGCAAGACCTTTTCATAAGTTAAAATGATTCGGGGATGGCCTTCGAAATACTATCGACACCTCATTAAAGCCTCAATCCTTCATGGATTTATCAACAATATCAACAAAGAATATATATTTAATTTTTTGAATTATAAGTTCACACATAGCGCTTTGAGAATGCCATTGTAGGTATTTCCCACATCAAAGGCCAGAATGCCATTGTAGGTGTTTCCCACCTCAAAAGCCAAGACTGAACTGAAAGCTTTGAAAATGTATCTTTTCCAGGTGCACTGGCAGCCCAAGGCGAAGGCGGACACAAGGCCCCATCGTGTCCCCTCATCCACGGCCCGCTGCGCCACTACATCCTCAACGCCCTCTGGATAGCCGTCAACCTCGTGTGCGTCAGCCTGACGCTGTTCCACCTGCGCAAGTTGCACAGGGACTTAACCAAGGCCAACGTGGAGGCGGTGCGTGTTGCAGGACTCGTCACCACATTGGTGAACGTCACCGGAGGCAGCGGAGTCCATATGAACGCCAACGGAGAAAGGGTGAGTGAAAAATCTTAGTCGGTGAAATATAACTTTGGAATCAGTCCTAAATGAAGTCCGATGTCAAGTTATGAGAAATGAGTCCTGCAAAGAAAGTCCTACAATGTGAGTCCTGCAAAGTGAGTCCTGCAAAGTGAGTCCTGCAAAGTGAGTCCTGCAAAATGGATAGTACCTGGAAAACTATCATTGCTTCGAGTTCAAGCAGGATGAGCTGTTACGTTATCAACACACTCCGTGTACGTAACTTCATAGTCGAACACCGTAGAGTGATCAGTCTTAGATAAGTATCCATATGATGAGCTATAATGGTAGTTCGTCCGTAAGAAGTTTCCGTGTTCTAGTTTCTAACGTGTATTTCGAACGGAATCCAGCTCGGTAAACTTGAACAAATTGCTGTAAAACTACTAACGTAACGATGCTGAACTTCAGGTATTAGACGCTTTTAGCATATAAAATGTTGCTCAACCGCATCTAAACTGTGCTTCAAATTCTAAATTCGCCCATATACATACGTCGTCCCTTCCAATGTGAAAGCGCGAGAGTTTTACAGCCCTTGAAATAATAATAAAATAGACTGCAATCAATGAAAGTGAATTTTATTCAACATTGAACAGAGTCAATGTACAGGGTCATTCCGTATATTTAAACAGCTTCTACAGGATTCATCATTGAAGATAGAAAAAAACTTCAAATAAAAAGGGTTTGTTCTGGACGTCCAGAATATTGTACGAGGTGAAACAAATGAATAACTCTGATATAAGAAATGGGTACCGATCTATATTTTTGAGAATCTCATCAGCCCATTGACAACAATTCGAGAGGCTATACGTATTCCGTACTCGGAAATGAAAACAAAAAACAAGAAAGAAAACGGAGAACAATAAATCATCGAACTGGAAAACCTTTTTAATGCTAGAATAAATTTGGATCTTCTTTTGCCGCAATACTGCTAGCGGAAACATAATTATGGATTATGAAAGGGTATTAGGTTTCCGCGTTTCATTGTGAAGCGAGTTTTTTTCCTCATATTAAACTATTTCATTCCCCAGTAGATAACTACCTAACTCATAGCATCGGGAAAAATCGGAATACCCCTCAATTTCCATTTTTTTCTGATACTTTATTTCAATGAGTGCGACTGATGATTCTTGATGGACAGAATCATCAGTACTTAATTTTTCGTTCTTTTCGTTGTTGCTTCAAGTAGTAACAAAAATGCAATATTTGAATTCTTTCAAACCCCGTGTATTTTAAAATTTCGGAATTTTCAGAAGTACCCCAAATGAACAAAAACTTTGTTATTCAACTTCGACAGCAAAGGCATGAAGATGATCTCATTACCTAGAAACATTTTTCAAATTGTCTTCTTATCTCTCTTATTTACAGGGTGATCTCAATAATTTAACTTTCTGGTTTTGCAGACATAACTTTTTTCCTTGTCGGCTGAAGCTGAACCTTCAGATGAAGGGATATGAAGGTCAGAATTAACTCAAGGTGAACATTATACAGTATGTCTCACTTCTAATGGAAGCACCCCTGTATGTTTCGTAATGGTTGAGTGGATTCTGAAACTTACAGGAGCGGAAGATATACTGAAAATAAACACTATGACCCAGTGGAGTCATCTTTAGTGATAAACACTGCTCGCCGACAGCCATGGAACCCCCCAAATTTCCGGAAATTGTTATTAGGAGCCAAGATATGTTGAAAATCACTTCGGGTTCGAAATTAGGACGTCCAATTCACTGACTATACATATTTTTCCTAGAAAATTTTCAGTTCAGAAAAATTTAATTTTGTCTCACTTCTTATGAAAGCACCCCCGTATCTCACGTAATTATTGAGGTAGGGTTCTGAACTTTGCAGGAGGAAGCGAAAGGGACGTCCTGATTTTGAATCCGATGGTGGATCCCTGGCTGTTGGTGAGCAATGTATATCACTGGAGACGACTCCACTTGGTCATAGTGTGTATTTTCAGTATATCTACCGCTCTAGCAAATTTCAGAATCCTAACTCAACAATTACGAAAGATACAAGGGTGCTTCCATTAGAAGTGAGACACACTGTATAATGTTCATCTTGAGCCAATTCTGATCTTCATATCTCTTCATCTGAAGGTTCAGCTTCAGAATGAGCCTGAGATTTCAAAAATTGGTTGACGAGGAAAAAAGTTATGTCTGCAGAGCCAAAATGTTAATTTTTCGAGAACACTCTGTAAATGAAAGAGATAAGAAGACAATTCGAGAACTGTCCCAAGATAATGTGATCATCTACATGGCTCTACTGTCAAAGTTGGAAAAAAAAGGTTTTTCTTCACTTGGGATACCATTGAAATTTCCGAAATTTTGCACAGTTTCAGGTAACACCCTGTAGCGATTTTATGTGAAGAACCTTATGTTTTGAAGGATTACGAGATTATAGCTGAAGGACTGGGCTAGCGAACAGTGTGATCCGAATTCAAATCGTTCAAAGCAGAAAAAAGTTATTCACATATATACAGAGGCAGAATTTTGGGATGCGACGAAATTACTGTTGCGTAGTTTATATTAATACTCTATCTGTGAAATGTAGCGATTGCTTGTCATGGTTCACTGGTATTCAGTGCTTATGAAATAGCACTTGAAACGTATTGAGTCTCAAGGGAAATTTCAAAATTGGTTTACGCCACATACGAAGTGCTTATAGAGAGGAGAAAGCTTTTAACGGCATCAGATGATTCCAGTTAACATCAACAAGCTGAAAACTGGAGTATAGCTATTTGTTTCACTAACTTGAACCCATATTCTGTCCACATCATTCTTTGTTTGCTTGAGTTTCCTAATTAATATCGTTCCTGAATATTCAATATCATCTAATGTTACCTGGCTGATTTCACAAATTTGACATTTGGAATGTAATTAGTTTGGGATATTCTGAAATGTCTACATTATTATTGGATTGTAACATACATTTCATTATTGAATAATTTGACCACGCTGTTGATGGTTTTTGTAGCTGTACCACTTCAGAAAAATAGGCCAATACCACCGTTTCCGAGAAAGAACTGCATGACTTTTTCATCCTCCATTCCATGAATCTTGAATACGCAGTTTCGTAAAAAAGAGAGGAAGTGATCATATACAGGATCTTTTTTTATATCGTTTTGCATACACTATGGAAATGTATCTCAAAGAAAGAAGAGTCCAATATTGGAGTTTGAAAAATAATGGAACAGATAAAAAATATTTATTAAAGAAGTAATGAATAACGGTTTATTTCAAACCTAACATCGAATGTTCAAAATGTTCTCCGTTGTTCTCCAAGCATTTCAAAACTCTTCGCCGTTTGTTGTCGAAAATGTTCCTCAGAATTTCCGGGCCAATTTTGGCAGCAATGTGTTAGTGAGGCTTGCAGCTCTTCAAGGGCATTATTGTCTCTCTTGAATACTTCTTCTTTCAAATATCCAAAGAGGCAGAAATCCAAAGGCGTCAAATCTGGAGAGCGTGTTGGGAAAGAAGGATAACTCCTCGATTCATCACACGGTTGTCATAACATTCTTGTAAATATTCTTTTGCACGTGTGGTGTGGGCAGTGGCCCCATCTTGCTGAAAATAGCCAACTCGAATTTCTTCATCATCAAGTTCATTGATGAATGGTTCTAACATCACTTGTCTGTACCTTTCACCATTGATAGTGCCATCGAAGAAAATCGGTCCATATATTCGCCTACGAGAAACTGCTAACCACACCCCAATTTTTTGATTGGCAGTACTCCGGACGACGTGAGATATCTATTGGCAGAAGTTGCTGTAGTACACAAGTCTTGTAAGGGTGCATATGCAATCTTTTCTTGAGCACTTTATGGCATGTACTGATGTACTTAGTGGCACACCAGATTGTAAAGATAATCTCTTCAATGACGTTTGGGGATTTTGCTCAACACGCGCCCTTAGATTTTCGACAACTTCTTCCGATATTTGGGGCCTTCCTGTTGATTTCTTTTTATTAACGTTTCCAGTTTGGATGAATTTGTTGATCACTGTTCTGATGTGGGCTTTCAAAGAAGATTCTTGAATCTCTACATTAGGTACTCATCCTTGCAGGCTACTACCGAGTAACTCCATCCACCATTGATGAATGTGCCATTTCGACAATAAGACTCCGAGGAATAAGCCATTCCTCTTTTCAACACGACAATCACGAAGTAGAAAACAGAATCGTTTCAAAATTTTAACGAAAAACAGACTATTGTGAGTTTATCAGCTATGACAGTATAATGATTGATGTCATCAGAAATTAAATTCGAATGTGTGAATCTCCATAAATGAAAGGCGGCAAATGGAGAAAATATTTCAACGGCTACCACGATGTTACGATCATTTATAGAAACCCTGTATTCATACGAACTTTTCTTCTCATTTTGACGTTAGCAACATGCTCCTGAATTTTCTACACGTACTTAAGAAACACCCTGTATAATAAATAACTATTTTTTTCAAGGCGAGCGGAGCGTTAGAGGAGCACCGCAGGATGCGCGCCTACCTCAACAGGATGGAAAAGGACGGAGTGCAACGCGTCAAGATGTTCCTGGTCATCACGGCCGCCTACGTCCTCTTTTGGGGACCGTTGTTCTTCGTCACGCTAGTCAACCATCCGATGGTCGGCAACGCTCTGGGGCACGAGGTAAAAACAATTAGAGCCTAGCCATAGCACCACTATACGGGAAATTATGCCACGATGGCAAGTCTTAGAGCGTATAAAATTGTTTTTCTACAAACGCTCAACAAAGTAGCCTTTGACGCTTTCAAATTCCAGCACAGTTGACGTTTTCCCAGAAATGTCATTCTTTGACAGCATTTGCGCTCGTGAGCGGAAATATTGAAAAAACGCTCGCACATTTCTGTAACTTATACTTATCTATTCTTGAAAACCCCCCAATTCTTTCATGATGGAAAATAGTGACAGTGAATCATCAAACACACCTCCTTCCTGATGATATAGCAGAAAGCGCAAGAGTTTGAATCTCTTACCGGAGAAATCAAGGAAGATATATGAATCACAATATGATACATTCAATAATTGGTGCCACTCCAAGAAGGTGAATAAGTATTCAGAAAACGTTTAACTGGCTTATTTTGGTAAAAAATCAAAGACTTTGAAGTCATCAACTCAGTGGTCTATATATTCGATGGTACGTATACATGCTTGAATGTTAAAGATAATATCGGAATCAATAAGTATCTGAAACTTATCGCATTTCTCAAGAAACAATCTTTTGGATATAAAGCGAGAAAAATGCAAAACAAACAAGATATATACCAACGAATTTCTACAAGACGCTCCTGATGAAGTATATCTGTTGAAAACGATTAATTATACTTTATATTTAAACTCTTTGTTGTCATCAGAAAAACAGTGTATCTTTATTTTATTGCATCAATGAGTAATGTTCAATCTGATTGCAGAGTTAATCGTACTATGGCTCAGAGGTCTGAAGCTCAGGTTGCCACGCTGGTGGTCCAGTTTCAATTCTCGGTAGGCCCGACATTTTTCATCTGGCTTGTCAGTTATTTCAATTTTTCTGTTTTTGTTTCCTTTGGACATATGGATAAGAACTTTTTCAACTATTTCAATCGCTCATACTTTCAGGGTAGTTATTTCCAAAAGCTGCGTTAGTAGAAAAAATCTTGTGTGTATTTCGAGCACAAAGTGTTACTGCCGCTCTCCAAAGATTACCGTAACTTTCTTTGTCGAGCGGCAATCTATCACTTTGCGCTCTGAATACACAAATAGCTATTTGAAGTTTGTTTTGCCAGAAGCATGGTGGTCCTTAGAGTAGTGTTCCTTCCTCCATTTCCATGAAGAACCTACTCACTTTTGGTTTTGGATGTATGATTAATTGACATTCATCATACAGGACGTGGAAAGAAATTATGAATTGAGAAAACCTAATCACGAATCTGCGATTGAGGTCTTGTTATTTTTATAGACCTCGGCTAAAACGGCTCACATGTCCCTATCTCAAGTGTTGATTAACTATTTACTGATATTTAATCGGAACAGATACAGGGCTATCAAAAATCTGAATCTTGAACCACCCTGTATCTGTTCCGATTAAATATCAGTGAATAGTAAATCAAAAGTTGAGATAGAGAGATGTCAGCAGTTTTGACCAATAATGAATAGTTTCGACATAAAAGAATCCTAAAATTGAAAAATCTCGATTTTGAACACCCTATATCTCTGTAATCATTTTCGATAGACCCCAAGTGTATCGATGAAATCAGCTCTTCAGGGAGAATCTTGAAATGCAATAAAATGAAGGGTGTTCTATTTGATATATCAATGTTGTAGAAGCGGTAAAACTGCATTGTCGAAAATATTTTAAATGAAGAGAGCGTATTCTGAAATAGAAGCATGCACATTTTCTTGGATTTATCTCGACTGATTCTCGATGTAAACTCGCCGTGACATACTCTGTATACAATATTCAGACTTAAAATGTTTCAACATGAAAAATTGACAGAAAGGCGAATCTTGACAGGAATACGATACATTCCTAGGGTTATGATAAAAAATTAATAAGTTCCAAATAGAGGTCACAGGCTTACTGGAAATTTTGTCGAAAGGTAAGGCAAATAGTACATTTGATTGATTAAATTTATTCTATTCAGAATAATACATATTATAATAGTAAAATCGCGAAAATTCCTGAAAATTGCAAAAATCGCAAAAATGCCTGAAAATTGAAAAAATCGCAAAAATTCCTGGAAATTGAAAAAAACGCAAAAATTCCTGAAGATTGATAAAATCGCAAAAATGCCTGAAAATTGCAAAATTTACTGAAAATTGAAAAAATCGCAAAAATGCCTGAAAATTGCAAAAATCGCAAAAATGCCTGAAAATTGCAAAAATCGAAAATGCCTGAAAATTGCAAAAATTCCTGAAAATTGAAAAAATCGCGAAAATTCCTGAAAATTGAAAAATTCGCAAAAATGCCTGAAAATTGCAAAAATCGCAAAAATGCCTGCAAATTGCAAAAATCGCAAAAATGCCTGAAAATTGCAAAAATCGCAAAAATGCCTGAAAATTGCAAAAATCGCAAAAATGCCTGCAAATTGCAAAAATCGCAAAAATGCCTGAAAATTGCAAAAATCGCAAAAATGCCTGAAAATTGCAAAAATCGCAAAAATGCCTGAAAATTGCAAAAATCGCAAAAATGCTTGAAAATTGCAAAAATCGGAAAAATGCCTGAAAATTGCAAAAATCACAAAAATGCCTGAAAATTGCAAAAATCGCAAAAATGCCTGAAAATTGAAAAAAATCTCAAAAATTTCTGAAAATTGAAAAAATCGCAAAAATGCCTGAAAATTGCAAAAATCGCAAAAATGCCTTAAGATTGCAAAAATTCCTGAAAATTGAAAAAATCGCAAAAATGCCTGAAAATTGCAAAAATCCCTGAAAATTGAAAAAATCGCGAAAATTCCTGAAAATTGAAAAATTCGCAAAAATGCCTGAAAGTTGCAAAAATCGCAAAAATGCCTGAAAATTGCAAAAATCGCTAAAATGCCTGAAAATTGCAAAAATTCCTGAAAATTGAAAAAATTCCAAAAATGCCTGAAAATTGCAAAAATCGCAAAAATGCCTGAAAATTGAAAAATTCGCAAAAATGCCTGAAAATTGCAAAAATCGCAAAAATGCCTGAAAATTGCAAAAATCGCAAAAATGACTGAAAATTGCAAAAATCGAAAATGCCTGAAAATTGCAAAAATCGCAAAAATGCCTGAAAATTGCAAAAATTCCTGAAAATTAGAAAAATCGCGAAAATTCCTGAAAATTGAAAAATTCGCAAAAATGCCTGAAAATTGCAAAAATCGCAAAAATGCCTGAAAATTGAAAAAATCGCAAAAATGCCTGAAAATTGCAAAATCGCAAAAAATGCCTGAAAATCGCAAAAATGACTGAAAATTGCAAAAATTCCTGAAAATTGAAAAAATCGCGAAAATTCCTGAAAATTGAAAAATCGCAAAAATGCCTGAAAATTGAAAAATTTCCAAAAATGCCTGAAAATTGCAAAAATCACAAAAATGCCTGAAAATTGAAAAAATCGCAAAAATGCCTGAAAATTGCAAAAATTCCTGAAAATTGAAAAAATCGCGAAAATTCCTGAAAATTGAAAAAATCGCAAAAATGCCTGAAAATTGAAAAATTTCCAAAAATGCCTGAAAATTGCAAAAATCGCAAAAAATGCCTGAAAATTGCAAAAATTCCTGAAAATTGAAAAAATCGCGAAAATTCCTGAAAATTGAAAAAATCGCAAAAATGCCTGAAAATTGAAAAATTTCCAAAAATGCCTGAAAATTGCAAAAATCGCAAAAATGCCTGAAAATTGGAAAAATCGCAAAAATGCCTGAAAATTGCAAAAATCGCAAAAATGCCTGCAAATTGCAAAAATCGCAAAAATGCCTGAAAATTGCAAAAATCGCAAAAATTCATGAAATTGCAAAAATCGCAAAAATACCTGAAAATTGCAAAAATCGCAAAAATGCCTGAAAATTGCAAAAATTCCTGAAAATTGAAAAAATCGCGAAAATTCCTGAAAATTGAAAAAATCGCGAAAATTCCTGAAAATTGAAAAAATCGCAAAAATGCCTGAAAATTGAAAAATTTCCAAAAATGCCTGAAAATTGCAAAAATCACAAAAATGCCTGAAAATTGAAAAAATCGCAAAAATGCCTGAAAATTGAAAAATTTCCAAAAATGCCTGAAAATTGCAAAAATTCCTGAAAATTGAAAAAATCGCAAAAATGCCTGAAAATTGAAAAATTTCCAAAAATGCCTGAAAATTGCAAAAATCGCAAAAATGCCTGAAAATTGCAAAAATTCCTGAAAATTGAAAAAATCGCGAAAATTCCTGAAAATTGAAAAAATCGCAAAATGCCTGAAAATTGAAAAATTTCCAAAAATGCCTGAAAATTGCAAAAATCGCAAAAATGCCTGAAAATTGCAAAAATCGCAAAAATGCCTGAAAATTGAAAAATTCGCAAAAATGCCTGAAAATTGCAAAAATCGCAAAAATGCCTGAAAATTGCAAAAATCGCGAAAATTCATGAAAATTGCAAAAATCGCAAAAATACCTGAAAATTGCAAAAATCGCAAAAATGCCTGAAAATTGCAAAAATTCCTGAAAATTGAAAAAATCGCGAAAATTCCTGAAAATTGAAAAATTCGCAAAAATGCCTGAAAATTGCAAAAATTCCTGAAAATTGAAAAAAATCGCGAAAATTCCTGAAGATTGAAAAAATCGCAAAAATGCCTGAAAATTGAAAAATTTCCAAAAATGCCTGAAAATTGCAAAAATCGCAAAAATGGCCTAAAAATTGAAAAAATCGCAATAATGCCAGAAAATTGCAAAAATCGCAAAAATGCCTGCAAATTGCAAAAATCGCAAAAATGCCTGAAAATTGCAAAAATCGCAAAAATTCATGAAAATTGCAAAAATCGCAAAAAATACCTGAAAATTGCAAAAATCGCAAAAATGCCTGAAAATTGCAAAAATTCCTGAAAATTGAAAAAAATCGCGAAAATTCCTGAAAATTGAAAAAATCGCAAAAATGCCTGAAAATTGAAAAATTTCCAAAAATGCCTGAAAATTGCAAAAATCGCAAAAATCGCAAAAATGC